AGATTTCACAATAACAGGCAGATTGTGCTTCTGATGGTGAGTGAATAATTTCAACCTTGTGACTTTGTAATGCAGCACGGTGGCACAACTGGTAGAGCTGCTGCCTCTCAGCGAGCAGGTCCTTGGTTTAAATCCTGGTCCGGGGGCCTTTCTGGGTGGAGTTTGCATGTTCTCTCAGTGCATGTATGGGTTTTCTCCGGGAACTCCAGTTTCCTCCCACAGACCTAAAATATGCATGTTAGGCTGATTGGTAACTCTAAATTGTCCCTAGGTGAGAGAGAGAGAGTGAATGGTTGTTTGTCTCTATGTGGCCCTGTGATGGACTTGCGACCTGTCCATGGCGTACCCCGCCCCTCGCACAGTGATTGCTGGACATGGGCAAACCCCGTGACCGTGGCAGAAACAAAAACATGATATTTTTAATGCTGTTAAAATTTATTCATTTATTGTTGGAATTATTGATAGTAATGAAAATGTGGTTGTGTCCCCACAAGTAGTCTTTGAGATTGTGATGAAGATGGATAATAACAAGGCATGTGGGTCAGACAGTGTATCTGCTGAGCATCTAAAATATACAAGCAGGAAACTGTACCCTCTGCTTGTCATATCTTTTACAGGCTTTCTTATTCATGGAGTGTTACCTGACAAATGATGACTGGGACATACACACATACATACATACATACAAACATATATATAAAGTGGAAAAATCCATAAATACGTCACTTCTATTAATCACAGCTAATGCGTTGCGTTTGTTACGCGTCACCATTGCCAACCCGGAAATGTGGGCCGGTGTGCCAAAAATCGATTTGCTGCCAAAATGGCGGCCGCTGGGGCATGCACAGGAGGACTTTAACAAGAATTTAATAAAATTAACACTTAAAAACAATTATTTGTTTGCTCGAAATTATAGTAAAGTGCGTCTCAGTTGAACTATTCCTTAAAAAATGCACTTTAATGGTCAAATCAGCTGAATTTCAAAAATAGTTTTGCCAATGAGGTGCTGCGAAGCAGGCACGCACAGCGGGACCAGACGCTGCATTTCTTTAAAATTGAACAAGATAACCACCTAAAAACAATAATTTGTTTGCTTGACTTTATAGTAAAGGTGTGTCTCAGTTGAACTTTTACTTAATAAAAGGACTTTAATGGTCAAATCAGCTGTATTTCAAAAGTATTTGCTGCCTCAGTGCTCTGGGAACATGCGGAGGGAAAAAATCAAGGAGAAAAGCTGCGCATTTCTTAGAAATTTAACAAGACAAGCACCTAAAACAATTATTTGTTTGCTCAACATTATAGCAAAGGTGTGTCCCAGTTGAACTTTTACTTAAAAAATGCATTTTAATGGTCAAATTAGCTGCATTTCGCCAGGGCGGCACAGCAAAATGAAGCTGATTTGACTTGCTCCAGGCGAGCTGGACGAAGGTGGCAGGCTGTGGCAAGCTGATTGTGTCATTAAAAGCTGGTGAAGATTCTCAGTTATCCAGGACATGGTAAATTCAAAAAAGTTCAAGACAAAAATAATAAAGTATAAAGTAAAGTATAATAAATAAAGTCCAGTTGTTTTTTGTCTTGAATTTTTTTTGAATTTGTCATTATAGCCATGTTTACCTATTACATGGTACAACGGCATGCCATCTGGTGGTTGACGACTTATAGGGCGAAAAATATGGTAGTTCTTTTGCTTGGTGCTTTTTTTGTTTGTGTGTTTAAGCAAGTTAAAACATGGTAGTAATGTCACTGTTTAAAGGAAACTATTGCTCAATAAATTAATAAAATGCAACTTTATTGTTATGCTTTATGTTGTTATGTTATTGTTATTATTTATTTTCCCTCTGGGATTAATAAAGTATTTTTGAATTGAATTGAATGTTTGGGTTCACTCAACTAAGGTAGACATGGTACTGTTCTTTTTTTTTTAAAACTGTAACTGACCTTCAAAAGAGCTATTAACTAACTAACTAATTCTGGCGGGACAGGGCTCTGATTGCAATGGGACAAGATTTTTTTTCTGCAGGATAGGAACGGGACAGGAGTGGAAATTCACTCCCATGTCTCCCTCTACTGTGGATTGACTTCAGTTCACATCGCTCGCATACCAACTCCACCTAGTAACTCACCCCTACCTATGTCCGATAGTACAAGATTCCGTTGGCAGCCTATGAGCCTGTACAAAAGATTATTGACAATTTTTTAGAGAAGGGAATAATCAGACCATGTAACAGTAACAGCACCTACGCTGCACCTTTACGGCCTGTCCTTAAATCCAGTGGAAAATGGAGACTCACCATTGACTACTGAAGACTGAACCAATGACAGGTCCCCTTTTCCAGGTGGCTGATGACTCAACTCCAACAAGAGCTTCTTAAGGTGGTCAATGTCAAATACTTCTCCATGCTTGATGTTGCTTCAGGGTTCTGAACAATCCCAGTACATATGGCAGATCAACACAAGTTGGCGTTCACCTTTGCTAGCCCTCAATAAACCTTCACCAGGTGTCCCTTTGACTATTCAAACTCACCAGTTGAGTTCAACATCTTCTTAAACAAAACGTGTCCTGATGCAGGTGAATGTAGAACCCTCATTTACGTAGATGACATTCTTCTACAACATCCCACAGCTGATACTCATTTAGCTGATTGACCACGTGCTGGATCAGCTCACAGCTGTTGGTGCAAAAATCTCACTTTTGAAGGGTCAGTGGTGCAAAACTAAGGTGGAGTCTACTTGTTGGCCCAAATGGCATACAGCCCCAAATTAGTACAGCCCAAGGTCTTACCATTCTTAAGACACCCTCCAACCTCACAGAACTACGTAGTTTCCTTGGTGTTTGTAATTACTCACGCCAGTTCATGGAGAACTACGCTGAACTGGCAAAACCCTTAACAGAACTCCTTAAGAAGGATGTGCCTTTCCTTTGGTCTGACACACAACAGCAAGCCATGGATGCCCTCAAAGCCAAGCTATGCTCAGCACCATGTCTGGCATATCCTAATAGCAACAAAGAGTTCCACCTCAACATGGGCTTTTCAGCTCACTGCTTGAGTACTGGTCCAATCAAATCCATGACCAAGACAAACATATAGTAGCCTATGCAAGCAAAACTCTGGCAGGCCCTGAACTAAAATACTCTGATTGTGAGAAAGCACTGTTGGCCACAGTGTGGGCAGTAAAACATTTCTCTAACCATCTAGGTAGACAAAAGACTACTGTGGAAACACAACACCAACCGGTAACTTTTCTGAACGGCCATTTTATCAGAGATGGTGTGGTGACAAATGCACATGTGGCTTCATGGCTTATGGCCTTACGGAGTTTGGCCCTAGAGAAGTCCACTATGCTTGTAACAAAAAAAAAACCTTTGGGTACAGAAATGGCTGCCTACACACAGGATGCTCCCTTGGTCCAGACATCTGTTGAATATGATACTACCTTTGAAAACCCACATCATCAATACTTGATAAAAATGTTTGTAAAGCTATGACAACAGTGTACGTAGATGGATGCTCCTTCCACCATAACACTGTTAACAAAGCCGATTTTGGTGTTGTTTGGCTCCACAATGGTGAACAAGACACTTCACAGTTTAAACTGGGTTCGAAATCGTCACGATATGCTGAGAGCTTAGGCGTTTTAATCGCATTGCAAACTGCGGTTGAGCGCTTTAGTTCATTTGTTGGTAATCTGCGTAGATTCCAATTATGCACAACTGAGCTTTTGTTGTCACCTTGCTGCGTAGAAGTGTAAAGGCTTCTTCACGTGCAGCGGTAAAACACAAGAACTTATTCAAGGCATGTAATCACCTGGGACAACTATTTTTGAAACTATTTTCGATACTGGGCAGCACGGTGATGCAACTGGTAGAGCTGCTGTCTCTCAGCGAGCAGGTCCCCGGTTCAAACCCTGGTCATGCATGTTCTCTCCGTGCATGTGTGCGTTTTCTCCGGGTACTCTGGTTTCCCCCCACAGACCAAAAACATGCATGTTAGGCTGATTGGTAACTCTAAATTGTCCCTAGCCCGCCCCTCGCACAGTGATTGCTGGACATGTGCACCGGTGACCCCTGTGACCCAAAATGGAAGAAGCAGGTAAAAGATAATGGATGAATTTTCGATACTTTCAAATGAAATAGTTTGTTTTTCTCAAACTTTATTTTAATTAAACTGGTGAAGATTCTCAGTCATCCAGGACATGATGAATTCAAAAAGCGTTCAATACAAAAACAAACTGGAACACAAACTCTCTGTCATCAGAACTTTACAACATCGGGCCGAATGCGTCCCCACGGAGACAGAAGGGAAGGAAAAGGAACTGAAACACGTTCAAGAAGCTCTCCAAACATGTGGATATCCTAAATGGGCTTTTGTCAAGTCAGCGAGGAAATCTACAAAACACACCAATAAACAGAAAAAGGAGAACAACAGACGGAAAAACATTGTCATCCCTTATGTTGCTGGAGTATCAGATAAATTCAGAAGGATCTTCAACAAACACAAGATCCCAGTACATTTCAAACCCAGCAGAACTCTCAGACAGAGGCTGGTCCACCCTAAGGACAAAACACCCATACACAAACAGAGTGGTGTAGTGTATGCGGTCCAGTGCAGCGAGGACTGTCCAGACCTCTACATTGGAGAAACTAAACAGCCTCTTCACAGATGCATGACTCAACACAGGAGAGCCACCTCCTCTGGACAAAATTCCGCAGTTCACCTCCACCTCACAGATAAGGGACACTCTTTTGAGGACCAAAATGTGCACATTTTGGACCGAGAACACAGATGGTTTGAGAGGGGGGTGAAGGAAGCAATTTATGTAAAAAGAGAAAAGCTGTCTCTTAACAGAGGAGGAGGCCTCAGATTTCCACTTTCAAAAACCTATAATGCAACTTTAAAACAGATTCCCAGCCGGTTTTCACACCTGATGGAAACAGAGGGGCCTCGTCAGTGAATTAGAGGAACATAGACCTACTGTTTAGGTGTGAACTGCCAATCTACATATGTGTGCGTGTGTCTTATGTGTGTGTGTGTGTGTGTGTGTCTTATCTCACTCAGCCTTATAACCTGTATCTCTCACTCTCTGCTCTTTGAATTGAGAAAGCTCCTCGGATGAGGAGCGAAACGTCTTCTGTTACAAATAAAGTCCAGTTGTTTTTGTATTGAACGCTTTTTGAATATTTCAATTAAAATGCTTTTTTTTCTTTCTTCTTTTTGTTCCACCTTTTATTGACTTGAGGTCATAACTATGTCTTGAAAGTGTCAGTTAATCACTACTGAACTTTAAATAGCCCATGAAAGTCACTTTTTCATAAATAATCAATTCCTTCTTATTGAATACATTACCCATGACAGGCGTGCCAGACCCACGAATGCCGTCCTGCCTTTGGCTTGAAGTCAGCTCGTCCAATGTTGTGGATCTCAGATGAAAAACGGAGCAGCCGACGATGCCCATAGGGCCAGTTGGCCTTGGCAGCAGATTTTGACAGGCAGTTCTCCTCAGCAGCACAGTAAAGCATATGAAGAGGACGATCCTCAATATAAACTGTCTGCTGGACCAGAGATGCATTCAGGACAAGGTCAGACGCCGCTGGACACAAAGGAAGAAGGGGAAAAACTGTGTTGCTTTTCTCTTTGTGTTGCAGAGTTATATGTTTGGTATTAAGTATTTTAAAAGCACATGCTGCACGCTGTATAAGTAAAATGACAACTAAACGGAATACTTAAGTATTTGCAAAACTTTATCATTTAGAAGAAATGTTGTCAAACTGATCTGAAAAAAAAAACAAAACCTTCAATTTGTCTTTTTTTTTAGAATTTCTTCAGCTTTGACTCACTTTCTGAGCAGATGACTCCGGCTGCAAACTTTGCAGCTGCTTTCTGACAGCTGACAGTTTTATGATGCTGGCACTGACTTAGAGCCATCTCGGTTCCTGTGCACTTCACGCCACTCATCACCATCTCTGCCACATTACTGCTGTCCCAGTACCAGGTTTCCTTAGACATCATAAAAAAATAAAATTATTTAAAAAAACTTGCTGATCAGAGCTAACCATCCCCATCTGGAGCGTTAAAGAGCTCAGTGTGTTGTTTCTGTTCTGAAAAACAGATGCACATGACAATGGTTGTCCATTGGATCAAGAATGGGGTTCTGTAGAAAGGTTTTGAACAGTCAGTACCTTACTTGCCGTTCATGACTTTCTCAATATTAGTTCTGACTGAACAGATGAGCTAATTTCTGGTCAAAGTGTATCTAAGACCAAAAATATTTACCAAAATCTTAAACAACTCCACTGCAAAATAATCTGAACTATTCATTTAATAATTCCCCCAAAACATTTCCAATTAGTAAATATAACATTTATATGTGTTTTGTTTTTGAAAGCTATTGAAAGCTTTAAGAATTTATTTATTTATTTATTGGCTGATAGGAGACTAAAACCAAGAGAGATATACAACAAAGCAAGACTTTCTGTTTAGTCAGCTATAGGCTCCTTTAAAAAACTCCTCAAGCCAGATGCCTTCTGGCTGCCTCTGTGTGATTGCTGAGTGGCTTGAGGCATTGTTAGGAGCGATGAAACCAGCTGATAGACATTTGTGTAAGTAGTAACAGAGATAAAACGGTTCATTTGTGATAAGGTAAGATGGCTTTGTGAAAATAATGTAATGAAGGGATGACATATAATCTGTGCAAATAATAAACAGATTTATTACTATAAGATCGACCAAAATACACAACAACTTTGTAATCAATAAAAAATTTAAAAAGTTAACCTCAAACAGAATCGCTATACTGAGTTAACTCCTCAAAAATTGAAAATGATACAAGGGAGACGGCCATCACACACGTGTTGGTTCCACGTCAACGTAGCTGAGTTTCTGTTACACGCCTCTTTTGGTTCCACAGTCATTTCTGAGAGCTCACATCTGTGCTGAACGTGTCTGGCTCTATCTGTGATTTATGAACAGCCAGAGGCAGCAGAAACAGGGACCGGTCTTTGTAGCCATTTTACTGAACTATTTTGTAAAAGAGCCTCATGTTGAAACATTATTTACAGAAGAGTAGAGATGCATCCCTTCAGTTCCTTCAAAAGCAATGTTCTGTGAAATCTACTTTAACATATTTGCTATTTTTCTTGTATGCTCCTTCTATGCTTTTGCTTGTATTAAGCAATGTATCTTGCTTTCAGTTTTAGTTAATTGTAGTTTTTATCTATTGTTTTGTTTTATTTAGGTTTTAGCTACTGCTTTGCAAATTATAGTTTTGTTTTATGCTTCGTATACTTGAGCTTTTTGATAGTGTTTTGCTCATTTTAGCTTTAAGCTTTTTTTCTTTTGCTAACTTTGTCTTGCAGCTACAGTCTTGCTAATTTTAGCTTTTCTCTGCATGTTTTCTTATTTATCTTTAGCTACAGTTGATCTAACTTTAGCTTTTAGCAACTGTTTTGCTAGTTGTAGCTTTTTGCTATGGTTTTGTTACATTTAGCTTTCAAGAGTTGTTTTCGTACTCATTTTATCTTTTGTTTCACTCGTTTCAACTTTGATTATTCATTACATGACAAATTTAACCAAGTCATTCAACACTTACAGAAAATGTTTTTTTTTTTTATCTTATTAAATTCATGCATAACATTTTACTTTTCAGTAAGAACTGAACCTAATTGTTGTAAAGGGTGAAAATTGATTTTTTTTTTTTTTTTTGTCGTATATGTTTTCAAAGTTATGTATATTTGGTGCTGAGAAAACTCATAATCTAAGAAACACATCTTCAGCGGACAGTTTATGAAAAATCAATATCTTACTGTTGCAGATAGTTTTTAAACATATTCAGTTTGGAGAAATAGAGTTTAAGTCTAACAGGATTGACTAGCTAATGACTAGTCCAAGTGCAGCTAAGACTTTAGTAAATTTATGACTTCTTAAACCACCCTAATCTCAAAATGTTATAATGCTTTATACAAATAATGTTTTATAGACCTTCACATTTCAGTTTCTCAATTTAATTCTTTACACAGTATTACAGGATTATTTGAATTGCAAATAGCATCAGTAAGAGATAACATGTCTGGTTTGGACTGGGGTGCCTGCTGCCTTTCATGCTGCAATTTTAGACCAAGATCATCTTGTGTTTAGAAATGACGGAGTTGCATCCATTTTGGTCAAACATTGAAACTAATTCTTTGCACAATCAAAACTTTTGAGGCTGGAGCAGTTTTAAGATGGCAGCAATTTTAAATTTTAGATGCCTTCAGACTAACCATAAGCTAGTCATTAGCTATGTTTACATGTGCAAAATTCTTTGACCGGATTGAAATATTTTCAGATTAAATAATCTGAATGTATCGTTTACATGGGCAAAATCCATTCACGACGAGCGTTTACATACAGCTGACTTTTATTCTGAATAGAAGTACTGACATGGGGTGGCTGTGGCTGAGTGGTTAGAGCAGTCATCCTCCACTGCGAAAGTTGGGGGTTTGAATCCACCAGCAGTCACATGCTGAAGTGTCCCTGGGCAAGACACTGAACCCCTCACAGCCTCCGATGTGTGTCCCATCGGTGTTTGAATGTGATAAAGCACTGATTAGTCTCATTAGAATGATTTGTTCAATTAGCTTTGTAGAGATCTAGTAGAGTGCTGTATGAATGGGTAAATGAGGCACAGATTCTATTGTAAAGTGCTTTGAGAATCTCAATAAGACAGAAAGGCGCTATATAAGTACAGTCCATTTACATGTGCAGAGTGGTAAACTCTCCTTAAAAAAACACTGAAGAAGAAGTTCTACTTCCGGGATGAACGTAAACAAACTGGAGCGCCCAAATGGACCTGCGCCAGGTTTTAATGACGGTGGAGACGTTACTGCACTCCCTGACTGAGCTACAGGTAATACAGATCATTTTGAGCTCTTTCAAAGTTTCTAGTAGAAATATTGTATCACTCATTGACCAATATTGCTTCCCCAACATATTTAGCAGTTTTAGCATAGTCAGGCAGAAACATGTGAGCTCGACATATGCACATGCACAGTCAGGTCAACTTTCCACGAACAGAAAAAATCCATTTAATCCGAGAACTTATGTCCATGTAAACATAGCTACTCATGTCAGACCAAAACTCAGGGCTCTTACAATCAATACATAGTTCCCACACATGTGACCGGTATTGGGCCATACTGGATTTTCCGCCACATGTCTAGACACGATCGAGGAAGATGGCTTACAGACAGACCAGAGCTCAGTATATTGATACTCTTGATCATGAGCAAGATATAGGCATAAAATAGCTGCGGTCGGAGTTGACCCGTATGAGGTGGAGAAAGAAATCATGTCAGACGAAGCGGACAAGTTGTCACCGAGAAGTTACTCTGATATCGTTAATTATTTATTGAACACGAAGAGTGCCTACAATGGAGGAGCTTCGCAGCTTTAAATCCACAGATGCTTATCATCAATAACTGATTTGTGAAGGACGTCCGAACTCTTCATGTTAATAAAGTTCTGGTGACTGGCAGAGTAAGTAGTTACAATAATATATATGTAGATGTCCCTCGTAGCTTGCTACATGCTACATCAGCTAAGCTAATTGTTGCTACTACAGCAGCTTACCTAATGTAGCTTGTGCTACAGTAAATATCACTGATTATTTCTCACATTACTACATTATTTATTTTGCCTATGACTGACTTTCATACTTAAATTAGTGATAACAAAATAAATCATTTGTAATTATTGCTCAGTCATAGTATTTAACATGTTACAGTAAATGTCACTGATATTATTTATTTTCCACTATGACTGCCTTTGTTAATAAAGTTAGTCATGAAAAATTACAATTTGGTAACTCCTTTTAATCCATTGGTTAAATGTTGTTTTAAAACCCTGAAACAAGAAGAAGCATTTTAATTGTTTTCCACCTTTGTGTTGTATTTCTATGTGAGGTTCTCCCAGAAGATTGATGAAACTCCACTTGGTCCAGAAGTTGTATGCAGTCATGCACCACAGCAATAAATGAGTGAAAATATCATTTCTATAAATGAATCTGCTTTTGAAGTACATGTGGTTGTTGGATTTCATATTTTTATACCTTTTTATATTTCCTATCAAGCATTCAAATGTCATGTTATACAAAGTGTGTGTGTGCCTTTCTTCAAGGGTTGAGCTATATTTATAGAAAATGTTTACTAATTCTAACTATTTTACCTTTATATATAATCTTATATTAGCTAATGATAATTTTACAAGTTCACATTTGATATATTACAAGCAATCAAATCATGCCAGATAGCAGGTAAGATACTGACTGAATCAGGAGGGGAGAGTCCTTTGTGCTCTGAGCACAAGGGGGCTTGGCCGTTCACACACACACTGATTAGCATAAATAAAGCTAGAACACATTTCTTTAAGTTAGACTTAATATAGTTTGACTAAGTAAAATCCCTCAGGTTCTCTCTTAATAATAACAATTAACATTTAATCGTTTAATCATTGTTTGATACAGGGTCGGTTTAGATGAGAGTGTAGTGAACTAAGCCTCAGGTCAAATCCTGACCTTGAGGGCCTTCCTGGGACAAGAACTGTATTTCATTTATTTGAGTCCAGAAACACAAAATCAAGTCCATCCAGAGACTTTCTAAGTGTGTCCTGCACTGATCAATTGAAAGAACACTCTCTTTTTTATTATCATTACTATTTTACAAATGTCTTGATAATCAAAGTGTGTTTAGTTCAAACCATTTTAAATGTTGAAGTGAACTACTCATTTTAAATCAACTGTGAAACAGTATAAATGATTTTCAATCCTCATTCAAAGTAGAAATCTAGTTAATGTCTGTTACAGAGTAATTATTCATTTTCTTGATCTTCTGTCTGAAATGAGCAAGTGTAAGTCGGTCAAAAGTCAAGTTTCGGTCAACTACATGTTTACTGGAAAGAAATGTCATGTTTAACTTTTTCAGACAGAT